TGGGCTTGGGAGCTTTCCCTCCTCTTGGATTTTTTTGGAATAGTTTGAGGAGAATAGGCATTAATTCTTTTTTTAGTGTTTGGTGAAATTCACCTGTGAATCGGTCTGTTCAGATTTTCTGTTTTTTCTTGAGTCAGCCTTGAAAGACTGTATACTTCTAGGAACTTATCCATTTCTTCCATATTGTCCAATTTTTGGCATATAGTTGCTCATAGTATTTTCTTAAAATTTTTTGTATTTCTGTGGTATCGGTTGTCACTTCTCTTTCATTTCTGATTGTATTTGGTTCCTCTCTGTTTTTTTCTTGATGAGTCTGGTTAAAGGATTGTCACTTTTTCTTTTCAAAAAAACCAGCTCTTGGTTTCATTGATCTTTTGTATTTCTTTTTAGTCTCTATTTTGTTTATTTCCACTCTGATCTTTATTATTTCCTTCCTTGTACTCACTTTGGGCTTTTTTGGCTGTTGTTTTCCCAGTTCCCTTAGGTGTAAAGATAGACTGTTGAGTTGAGATTTTTCTTGTTTCTTTAGATAGGCCTGCATTGCTATGAATTTTGGTCTTAGGACTGCTTTCACTGTGTCCCATAGAGTTTGGATCGTTTTGTTTTTACTTTTGTTGTCTCAAGGTATCTTTTGATTTGATTTTTTCCTTGATCTCATTGTTGACCCATTCATTATTTAGTAGCATGTTAGTTAGTCTCCATGTGTTTGTGTGTTTTTCAAAAGTTTTTTTCTTGTAATTTCTAGTTTCATAGTACTGTGGTCAGAGAAGACACTTACATGATTTCAATCTGCTGAAATTAATTGAGACCTGTTTTGTGGCCTACTATGTGGTCTGTCTTGGAAAATGTTTTATGTGCACTTCAAAAGAATGTATATTCTGCTGCTTTTGGGTGAAATGCTCTAAAAATATCAATTAAATCCATCTGGCCTAGCATGTCATTTAAGGCTGTTGTTTCTGTGTTTATTTGTCTGAGAGATTTGTCCGTTGGTGTCAGTGGGGTGTTAAAGTTCCCGACTATGATTGTATTACTATTGAACTCTGTCTTTATGTTGGCAATATTTGCTTTATATATTTAGGTGCTCCTATATTGGGTGCATATATGTTTACTAGGGTTATGTCTTTTTTTTTAACATTTTATTGGAGAATTGGGGGAGGGAACAGCGTTGGGGAATCGAGGAAGGGGAACAGACAAGTTGCTGTCCTTTTATTCTTCAGTTTAGTTGTGGAGGACGTCACTTCACTGGCTTATGTTGGTATTTGATCATTGCGTTCTTCCTGGCTAAGGCAGATTGGTCACCGGCCATTGGACGGCCGCTCACGGCAGCTCTCGCTGGCTGCTGGCCACTCACGGTAGCCTATAATAGCCCACTAAGACCCACTGCAGCCTACGCTGTAGCTGGCAACTCATGGCAGCCCAGCTGTAGGTCGAGCTGTTGTTCACCATCTTAGCTGTAGAGGGCGCAGCGTCACTGGCCCATGTGGGATCCGAACCAGCAGCCCTGCTGCTCAGAGCTAGCGCTCCCAAGCTAACTCTTAACCAAGAAGCCACTCGGCCAGCCCAGGTTATGTCTTTTTCTTGGATTGATCCCTTTATTATTATGTAATGTCCTTCTTTTTCTCTATTATACTCTTCATTTCTTATTGTAGTCTCCAATATAAGTATTGTTACTCTAGCTTTTTTCTCATTTCCATTTGAGTGAAATACCTTTTTTTATCCCTTTACTTTCAGTCTTTGTGTGTCTTTCAATCTGTGGTTGGTCTCTTGTATACAGCATTTGCATGGGTCTTGTTTTCTTATTCAGCTATCCTATATCTTTTGATTGGAGCATTTAATCTATTTACATTTAAAATGATTGTTGATAGGTACATAGTTATTGCCATTTTATTATTCACATATTTGATCTTCATTTGTTTTGTCCTTTCTTATGCTTAAAGAAGTCCTTTTTAACATTTCTTGTAATACTGGCTTGGTGGTAACGAATTCCTTTAGCCTTTTCTTGTCTGAGAAGCTCACTATCTCCTTAAATTTTAAATGATAACCTTGCTGGGTAGAGTAGTCTTGGTTTTAGGTTGTTGTTGTTCGTGACTTTGAATATTTCCTGGCACTGCCTTCTGGCCTGCAAAGTTTCTGTTGAGAAATCAGCTGACAGTCTTATGGGAGCTCTGTTTTAAGTAACTAGTTGTTTTTCTCTTGCTTTCAGCATTCTTTCTTTGTCTTTAACCTTTGCCATAGTAATTATGATATATCATGGTGTCAGCCTGTTTGGGTTCAGGCTTGTTAGGGACTCTGCACGTCCTGGCTTGTATGTCTATTTCCTTTGCCAGGTTAGGGAACTTTTCAGTCATTATTTCTTCAAACAGGTTCTCAATCCCTTGCTCCTTCACTTTTCCTTGTGGTACTTTTATGATATAAGTGTTGTGATGCTTAATGTTGTCCCACGGGTCCCTTAAACTGTCTTCATTGTTGTTGTTTTTTTTTTAAGATTTTATTGGGGAAACAGGAAAGGGGAACAGACAAGTTGCTGCCCTTTTGTTCTTTAGTCTAGTTGTGGAGGACGTTGCTTCACTGTCCCATGTTGGTATTAACATTGCACTCTTCCCGGGTCGCAGATCGGTCG